GTCCTCTCACTGTGTCTCTTGCACAGTAGTACAAGGCTGTGTCCTCAGCTCGCAGACTGTTCATTTGCAGATATGCGGTGCTTTTGGAATCATCTCGTGAGATGGTGAATCTGCCTTTCACAGATGCGGCATATTCTGCTGTTCCACCATTAGCCTTGTTTCTAATTACACCAACCCACTCCAGCCCCTTCCCTGGAGCCTGGCGGACCCAGTTCATGTAGTAGTCACTGAAGGTGAATCCGGAGGCTGCACAGGAGAGTCTCAGAGAACCCCCAGGCTGGGCCAGGCCTCCCCCAGACTCCACCAGCTGCACCTCACACTGGACTCCTGCAAACACAGACACATCCTGGTCAGAAACTGCCACACACCCCCGCTGTTTCTCTCACTAATATCCACTCACACACTCAATGTCTCTAGTTCTCCATGAATTACCTTGTAACAGAGCAACAAAGAAAACCCAGCGCAGCCCAGACTCCATGGTGAGTGTCTGTGTTCAGTTCTGATCACCAAATCAGGACACCTTTGAATGTCAGGGCTGGGGCTCCTCTCCCAGAGCTGCAGGGTGAGGACTGGGCTGCTTTTCATCAGCAGAGGGAGGGCCCTATTTGCATTTCCCCTGTCATATAGCAAGCTCTGGAGTGGGACATCTGAGGAGAGTGCAGAGCCCAAAGAAAAGGTAAGAGCTCTGAGGGAGTTTATAGGTCATGATATTTTACAGATGAAACTGTACAAACAGAAACAGAGAGAAGTTGCGCTATGTGTGCAAGAGCAGACACGCATCTGGTGAGAGGCATTGGCAGGATCTGGGACTGTGCTCCACAAAACTTGACCCTACAGCTCACCTGAATCAACTCCAGGATTAGTGTGAACAAGCCTCCTAGGGTTTTCAAAAACTCCTTTCCATAATGAGAACATGGTGGTGTTTTGCTGCATTCTACTGTTACAAAGTCAAGGTTGAATCAAACTTTGGCCACAGAACTCACACTGCCCTTGACACCCTTGTCCATGAACTACAACATATGCCTCGCTCAGCTGAGGGGTCTCGAGTTCACACAAGTTGTCAAATGTTACTGCTGCTTCCTGTGTGTTGGGTCCAGGGCACAAGCGCGGGTTCAAGAAGGAATGCACTGAAGTTTGTCATTACATTTCCCTCTAGCCAGGAAGGTCCACACAGGCCCAGGTTCAGTCTATGGAGCTGCCACATGCTTGGGACAGTAGTCAGCCCTGATCTTTGTGGAAGTCACAATATGTGTGTGAGTTATCACTCTCCACTGCTGCAGGTGGCTCTGTGGTCATACTTGACATTCGTTGGTGTCCCCTACCACCTGCACTCTGGATTCCTCTAACACACGGCCAGCATTTCACAGTGAGGGGTGCTGTGTGTTGCTCCCTGATGGAGTGACTCAGGCCTGAGCACTCAGAGCCATTTTCCTTGGTCCCTTGGCTACCTTCAGCCATTGGGTTGATGCTATTGACCTCCCCAGTGGTGAATGCAGTCGAGAAGCCCAAAGAAACTGCCTAGGCCTGAGGGACTGCCCCTGCCTCCATGGATACACACAAGCTTCACCTCCAAA